TCCCCCCCACCAAGTGTCGAAGTCCACCATGCAGAATAAAAGAAGATAGACAGTGTTTAGACTCATCTCTGCAATGGAAGAAAGTTGAATATTCGTAGGGAATATGAATGAAATCAGCCGGGCTTATAAATCGTGGATTGGATTGTCGATTACATTAGCACAGAGCACAAAATATAGATAAACTAGGTATCCAATCATCTACTGCTGATCGCAACAACACATGATAGTTTAAGATGCGCGTTACTATTTTAGGTGGATACCTAGAGATATCCTAGTGATGGCCTGGGCTATACCGATGGCAACTTGTTCACATTACTCGGTGTTGAGTAACGAACAGGAGTCAACAATAAAATATCAATGACATAATCCAATGTCGGTGGATAGGCAGAATGACACCGACATGATTACTCATGTTGTGATTTCCATCCACTGCTGAGAGCTGACGCTGATACCGGACATTCACACACACAAACACACCCCGCACACCGCGAATTAGCAACTCAAATGAGCAGGGGAGGCACACTCGCTCACCCACGTTAACATCAGTCACACCTACCTAATTCATTTTGGTCGAACAGAAATTTTCGATGAGTCATTCTGCGCATGTGCTATCGGTCCACAGAGTTATGCAATCAAGAAAGAGACGATTACCATGAAAATTCTCCACCAATCTACGTGAACCACAACGTTTCAAAGTGCATTAACAGGCAAAAAATAGTTGCTGAAAGCTTCACTAATGAAAGCCAACGCCTTAATGGGTTGCCAAACTTCAAAATACCGTTCAATGGAGGGAAAAATGCATAGTTCAAAGCTTTTAGAGGCATAGATTTACTAGGTAAAACCCATAATCAGACGAAAACCCGCCAATTGAAATTCACCCTAGGAACAGATATTCGCTGTTATATTAACATTTGAGGGGGGGGGGGGCAACATAAAATGGTAATTATAAATGATATATTTATAAATGCGTCTTGATGGTGGTGGTGAGGGTTATTTAGATGATTTGTGTCATATTCAAAAGATATTTTGTCTCTTAAAAATTAGCATAAAATACACCTGATATAATATCAACAGGAATGTGGGGTGTGCGATAGACTTACCTTCATGTGGTGCACCCTGGGTAACGTATATCATACGGCAAACAAGTCTGCTAATCGCAGTTGACTTCTCAATTCAAACTACCATCACCCCATTGTATGTCATATTCGACTACTTCTACAGTACTCATCATGCCTCTTTTCTACCTTTGTAACTGTCTCTTTTACATCTTTGAAACACTCTTCTGTTCCCCCCCCCCATCTCGACCTTTTGTCACTTTGATGTTCCTCCTCCCCTCTCTGAAGCTTGAAGTCAGCTAAAGGGCTAATGATAACCATCAAAACGCCTGCCATTTGATATAAATAAATAAATATCCGCAGGAATGTAAAGGTTGCTCAATTACAACTTATAAACTGCTATCTTATTTGAAGTTAGAACAAAATGGTTTGATCGTCTTAGATAAGTGATATGGATAGTTAGTCCCACACCTGTCAACAAGATGCAATCAGACGCATTAATTATCATATATGTTAAAGAAGTAATCTCCAAGTTAACTGCCTTGTACTTTCTAAGCAGAGTAGGGAGTGTAATTCATTGGCCTTAATCGCTGTAGTCATCATCATCGTCGTCGTCGTCGTCGGCATGTAGCCTTATGGTGTATCCCAGGTAAGTAAGTCAATAAATAGTGGACTAAACAGCAGACCAACCAACTAACCATCTGACCGATTGACCCCAATTTATAGCTCCGGGCCTAACACGGAAGTACATCATGCTCTGTTCCAAGATGTCCTCAAATTCAGGACAGGACAAGGGAATATTAGTTTCGCGCAGTACAGCTACACTGAGAACGATTTAATCTAATTAATAATAAAGCATTTACTGCAAAAGCGGATGAAGTTCCAACGGAAGAATTACTCCTCATCAACGAATTTTCATTTCTTTTGCGGAGATCTTTAGCAGGAACCGCAGCGGCAACACAACCCAGACCGAGGTTTCGTGCCAGTGTCAGACGAACTTCAGACCCGGCCTGACTGACTAATCGAGCAGCTGCGTCCTGAGATAAACCTCTTGTTTCATTTCCATCAACTGCAAGAATACGATCGCCTGGTGCGATCACCGGCTGTGGCGATTCCTCGGTGGAAGATTCGTGACCGAGCCAACGGGCTTGAGAGGCTCCACCGCCTTGAGCTACGGATTTAACGTAGATTCCCAAGTCACTTCCATCTTCTGACTGCATAAATTTCAAAAGTAAAATATCGATTAAATTCCACGTTGTGCAAACATACGAATAATATAGAATTTGCTTGAGTAAATATACCTTCAATTAATAAACTGAAGGGTTTCTTTATAATTCAGCCAAGAAACAAAAAAATAGACCAATGTAACCTAAAAGTAAGCAGCATAGTTCACTATGAAATATCAATTGGCAAAA